AGCCAGGGAGGGAGTCTTGCGGCAGATCTTCAACCGCAGATGCATTCGGCAACAGTCGCAAAGCCGGACTGGTGAGGAGCAGCATCATCATATTATGATGATGTTTCTCCTAACCAGTCCGGCTTCCCGAGTAGCGGTTGAGAGCATGCCGAGCTTGCACACGCTCTCCTGCAGCCCGTGTCTGGGAACAGGCAAACAGGCAAAGAGTGTTAGTCTCCAGCAACCTTTTAGAAACTGTCAGACCAATCCGGCTGGACTACAGACAACTTGCAAGTCAACTCTACAAGCCCGTGGCACGCATATCCTCTGGGCCCCCTGGGCCTGGAAGCCTCGCATATGACTGATGACTGATGATGATGATGGTGATGATGATGTTGCGGCCCATGAACCTTGGACGGGCCTGGGAACCTGATGACATTGATGACTGATGATGGTGATGATGATGTTGTGGCCCATGAACCTTGAACGGGCCTGGGAACCTGATGACATTGATGACAGATGATGGCGATGAGGACTCCACGGGGCATGCTTATTAAATTTATTTAAATTTATTATTGTAGCCTCGATGATGACTGTCATGCCACGGCACAGGTCTCAGCCCAGCTATTCTACCTGGGAGCCTGGGAACCTAGGAACCGAACCTTTCCCGAGCCTCGTGATGATTGTCATGTCACGGCACATGTCTCAGCCCAGCCAGGGAGGGAGTCTTGCGGCAGATCTTCAGCCGCAGATGAATTCGGCAACAGTCGCGAAGCCGGACTGGTTAGGAGAAACTTAATTAATTTCATTTGCGATTGCCGAGCTGAACCTGGAAGCCGATACGACACGGGCTGAAGGAGAACATGCCGAGCTTCGACACGCTCTCCTGCAGCCCGTGTCTGGGAACAGGCAAACAGGCAAAGAGTGTTAGAACCCAGCAACCTTGTGAAACCTAAAACTCTCAGACCAATCCGGCTGGACTACAACTTGCAAGTCAACTCTACAAGCCCGTGGCACGCATATCCTCTGGGCCCTCTGGGCCTGGAAACCTCGACTGATGACTGATGATGATGATGGTGATGATGATGATGATGATGTTGCGGCCCATGAACCCTGAACGGGCCTGGGAACCTGATGACATTGATGACTGATGATGGTGATGATGATGTTGCGGCCCATGAACCTTGAACGGGCCTGGGAACCTGATGACATTGATGACAGATGATGACGATGAGGACTCCACGGGGCATGTGTTAAAATTATATCTTTATTTATTTAGCCTCGATGATGACTGTCATGCCACGGCACACGTCTCAGCTGGGTTCAGACTCCCTGACTGAGGGTAACAGACTGAGCCTGGCAACCCAACGAACTATTCTACCTGGGAGCCTGGGAACCTAGGAACCGAACCTTTCCCGAGCCTTGTGATGATTGTCATGTCACGGCACATGTCTCAGCCCAGCCAGGGAGTCTTGCGGCAGATCTTCAGCCGCAGATGAATTCGGCAACAGTCGCGAAGCCGGACTGGTTAGGAGAAACTTAATAATTTCATTTGCGGTTGCCGAGCTGAACCTGGAAGCCGATACCACACAGGCATGCAGGAGAGCATGTCGATTCGACACGCTCTCCTAGCCCGTGTGGGAACAGGCAAACAGGCAAAGAGTGTTAGAACCCAGCAACCTTGTGAAACCTTCAACTCTCAGACCAATCCGGCTGGACTACAACTTGCAAGTCAACTCTACAAGCCCGTGGCACGCATATCCTCTGGGCCCTCTGGGCCTGGAAACCTCGACTGATGACTGAAGATGATGATGGTGCTGGTGATGATGATGTTGCGGCCCATGAACCTTGAACGGGCCTGGGAACCTGATGACATTGATGACTGATGATGGTGATGATGATGTTGCGGCCCATGAACCTTGAACGGGCCTGGGAACCTGATGACATTGATGACAGATGATGACGATGAGGACTCCACGGAACTATTATTATATTTTATCAGCCCAGGGAGCTGGGTTGCCAGCGGAGCAATTCAAAGTTCTGCCGAACACAGACTCCCTGACTGAGGGTAACAGACTGAGCTTGGCAACCCAACGAACTATTCTACCTGGGAGCCTGGGAACCTAGGAACCGAACCTTTCCCGAGCCTCGTGATGATTGTCATGTAACGGCACATGTCTCGGCCCAGCCAGGGAGGGAGTCTTGCGGCAGATCTTCAGCCGCAGATGAATTCGGCAACAGTCGCGAAGCCGGACTGGTTAGGAAAACTTATTTTAGCCGAGCTGAACCTGGAAGCCGATACCACACGGGCACGGCATGCAGGAAAGCGTGTCGAAAGGCCTTCGACACGCTCTCCTGCATGCCCGTGAACCTGGGACGGCGCGGAAGCGGCAGAATCTCTGCCGCTTCCACACTGTTTTTCTCCAGAAATTGTGACACCTAAAACTCTCAGACCAATCCGGCTGGACTACAACTTGCAAGTCAACTCTACAAGCCCGTGGCACGCATATCCTCTGGGCCCTCTGGGCCTGGAAGCCTCGCATATGACTCAGATGACTGATGATGATGATGGTGATGATGATGTTGCGGCCCATGAACCTGGAACGGGCCTGGGAACCTGATGACATTGATGATCGATGATGACGATGAGGACTCCACGGCGCATGCTTAATTTTCCAAGCCGTTGAGCCTGGACCTGCAATTGATGTTCCGCGTGCACGCCGTGCATTCCCCGCAGCATCAATTCGAACCAGGTGTTTCCAGTGGAAACACCTGGTTCGATTGATGCTGCGTGTGGCGCCTGGGGCCTGAAGTCTGTTGCTGCTCTGTTGCATGCACCGGCAGTGAACATCCACGGAACGGCCACCGGCAAGGTTTCCATGTCCCCAGACTCCCTGAGCGACTCTGCCACGGTCATCTGTCCGCCCTTAAAGGGTGGACAGATGACGGTGGCAGAGGCGAACCCAGGCGAACAACCATGGAGCCTGGCAGCAACCTTAAAATCTTAAATATTGGGAGCCTGGGAGCCTGGGAACCTATGACTAGGAACCAGTCTCAGCAACTCAGGCCACAAAGTCGGAGCGTCGGCTGGCGCCGGTGTGGGCACCAAAGCAGCCTGGCAACACGGGGAGCGACTGGGTTGCCTATCAGCAGTGACAGTGAAATTACATCATCCAGGGTCCTTTTAGGTGGGATGTTGGGCACCCACGAAGCAACCCTTCAATGCATAGAAAAGACCCTTCAATGCAACTTTTTTGAGAATCAGCGCGTTCAAGGGTCACAAGGTTGCATCCAAGGGTCCCTCAAAGACTAAGATGCTGCTGGATGTTGGCTGGGCACCCACGATAAAACCCTTCAATGCATCCAAAAGACCCTTCAATGCACCTCTCTTAAGAATCAGCGTGTTCAAGGGTCAAAAGGTTGCATCCAAGGGTCCCTCAAAGATGCTGCTGGATGTTGGGCACCCACGATAAAATTCCTTCAATGCAACTTTTTTGAGAATCAGCGCGTTCAAGGGTCACAAGGTAGCATCCAAGGGTCCCTCAAAGATGCTGGATGTTGGGCACCCACGATACAACCCTTCAATGCATCGAAAAGACCCTTCAATGCACCTCTCTTAAGAATCAGCGCGTTCAAGGGTCAAAAGGTTGCATCCAAGGGTCCCTCAAAGATGGCTGGATGTTGGGCATCCACGAAGCAACCCTTCAATGCTTCCGGGTTTAGGGTTTAAGGTTTAGGGTTTAGGGGTTTAGGGTTTAGGCTGGTTTAGGGTTTAGGGTAAAAGACCATTTCAATGTACCTTTTTGGAGATTCAGCGCATTCAAGGGTCACAAGGTTGCATCCAAGGGTCCCTCAAAGATGCTGGATGTTGGACACCCACGAAGCAACCCTTCAATGCATCGAAAAGACCCTTCAATGCACCTTCTCGGAGATTCAGCGCATTCAAGGGTCACAAGGTTGCATCCAAGGGTCCCTCAAAGATGCTGGATGTTAGTAGGCATCCACGAAGCAACCCTTCAAGGCATCCAAAAGACCCTTTAATGCACATGTTTTAAGAATCAACGCAGTCAAGGGTCACAAGGTTGCATCCAAGGGTCGCTGACTGTCAAGCCATTATGACCGCCATGTACCAGACCCTGCACTCAATCAAGTCAGGCTGGCCAGACGGATGTCGAGATTTCGGGCGCCAACTGCAGCAACACCACTTCCTTGCCATTGTCAGTACAAAGACCCTTTAACTTCAGCAGAAGTTTCAATAGACCAATTGCATCCAAGGGTCTTTTTAAGCGGAATGTTGGGTACCCACGAAGCAACCCTTCAATGCATCAACAAGACCCTTCAATGCACCTTTTTTGAGAATCAGCGCGTTCAAGGGTGACAAGGTTGCATCCAAGGGTCTTTGTAGTAGGGATGCGGGATGTTGGGCGCCAACGATACAACCCTTCAATGCATCCCAAAGACCCTTCAATGCACCTTTATTGAGAATCAGCGCGTTCAAGGGTCACAAGGTTGCATCCAAGGGTCTTTGTAGGCATGCGGGATGTTGGGCACCCACGAAGCAACCCTTCAATGCATCGAACAGACCCTTCAATGCACCTCGGAGAATCAGCGCATTCAAGGGTCATCAGGTTGCAATTCAAGGGTCGATGCATCACCCGTCAAGCCATTATGACCGCAGTTGGCCAGCCTGTACGCAGGCGCCCGTCCCACTGCAGGAGGACCTGGCGAGAATAATGGTCTAAGTACGACTCAAATGCATGAGACTCACCGGCTCGCCTCGGCGCGGGTTGGAGGAGCCTGCTAGCCGAGAATCGTCCGCTGTCCTGGTCAGAGAAAACATCAACAAGTCTTGACAAAGACGCGCTAGCAAATCGAGCTGCATCGGCTACCTCCCGAAATTTGATTCCCGTGCAGCCAGTCGGTATTGTCATCGTCGGCTACTGTACAAGCTAAGGTTTCAATGGCCCACACAGCGACAGTCGTGCCAGGGAGCGGACAAAGTAAACTAAAAAATCACCAGCTCACAGCTCCAAGCCTGGGAGCCTGGGAGCCTTGGGAGCCTTTGACTCCGGGCGAGAAGTGCCACGATCGCCTGAGACCTCACTGCCGGCTGCCCTTACCACCTCCGGCTTCTGCTTGGCCTTGGGCACAGGGTTGTGCTTCCTCTCGGGCACCTTAGGCTGGCATACGAAAAGTTAGTCAAAATGATTATTTTTTTAACTTAAATGTTACTGTTGAATATGCCAAGAAACTCCATCAGAATATGAAAACAAACCGGCAGGCACACGGCCACGGGCTTCAATCGCCAACCTGCTCCTCGAAGGGTAGTCCGGGAGAATTGCACGAGGCCCGAATACCCTCACTGCTTGGCCGACCCCGAATCGCCTCACTGCTTCATCTTTCCCAAGCCCCAACTCGAACGTCTGATCGAGGACCACGGCCAGGCAGTTCCACTCTCCTGCAGTCATCTTCAGCAGCGGTGCGTCAGAGTCAGAGTCGTATGGAGTGGAGCGACAAGTCGAAGCATGAGCCTCGTCGAGGTGCTTCTGCTGGATGGCCCTTCCATATTTGAATCCAGCCTTCCAGGCCGCCATTCTCACGTCGAAGGTGAGCTTCTCCCTATCCTCTAGGCTGGGGCCCGGCGGCAAGGGCCTTTCAGGCGGAGGGCACTAACAAACCGCAGGATCGAACACTCCAGCCTAACCGCCGAATCAAAAATCACTACAGGGGAAGGGATTCTCTGGGCCCTCCTATGCATTGCTCGCCTCCCCAGTCGCCACACCGCCATGTTCACAGTATTTGCGGTCGTCGGCTCCATGGCTAATTGCAGCCTAGGGAGCCTCGATGCCTGGGAGCCTGAATGCATAGGTCCCATGTTTGTGACTCCGGGCATCTGACAGATCTGAGCGGTTGCACTGTGAGTCCCCAAGCTTGCAAGCACTGACTGACTGACGAATCAACAGATCACTGACAGTCTTTGCCTCATGTTTGCACGGCCACTGCAATGCTGTACATCGAATCACCCGCTAGATTCAGTAGACACGGCGGCCCTCTCCCTAGGGTCTGATCGGATGGTGACTTCGACTGGGTACTCCAAGTTGTGCGGAAGACTGATGACCAGGGACCCACCAGAGGAAGTCGAGGTCGTCGGAGGAGAGGATGCCGTGATCGCCCTGGAGGCCAGTTGGAACGCCTGTACCGGGGTTACCGGGGCAGTGAAGCTGTGAGTCACACCTCCGCTATGTCCACTTCCACCGGGTCCTACAAAAAATGCAGTGGCAGGTGTCGGTGCCGGCGGTCCATGTGGTCCTTCAGAATCTGTGGCGGGTCTGCGAGAGCAACCAGGCGTTGGAGGGGGTGGTCCGCGAGAGACAACAGGCGTTGGAGGTGGTGGTCCCCTCGGAGCGCTGGTGCCACTGCCAGTGCCCGGCGGCCCACCGGTCTCCTCATCAGTGGATCGAAGGAGGTCTTCGTCGGAGTCATCAGAGGACAGGGTCGGGTGCGGCTTGGCACTGGCTGGCTTGGCACTGGCTGGCTTGGCACTGGCTTTGACCGCTGACCGGCGCGGGGTGCGGGAAGCAGAGCGGTCACGAGGCATTTTCTTGGGCTTGGGCCCCATGTTGATCCCTAAAGCCTGGGAGCCTGGGAGCCTATGAGCCTATAATACATGTTAGACTGAGCTTTGACATGTTGCAGCCTGGCAGCCTGGGAGCCTACTATTATATGACATGTTAGACTGAGCTTTGACATGTTGGAGCCTGGCAGCCTGTCGGAGCCTTGGAGCCACTACCTAGTCTGACCTAGTCGTGATGCATCCACTTTCCAGGAAAGCGGGGCTCGTCAGAACAGCTAATGTCTGCAGCACAGCAAGGTATCGCTTGATTGAATGTGCAGTCCCATGCATGCAGGTCTACAGCGGCAGTTAAGATCAATCGGAAGCATGCAGCCCCACCTCTGCGGCGAGATCCGTCGAAGGCGGAGCCACCATCGCCTCACATCGGGAACACCCGGCAGAATTACTGCATGTGTGAGTGCCCAGCAGCACCTGTGCACTGACATTCGCCGAAGGAGGCACAACCTGGCTCCGGGTAAGGGCCATGCACAAATCACAGCTATATAGAGTGTCCAACAATTCGCAAGTCGCAGGCCTGTGCATGGACATTCGTGGAAGGCACCACCATCGCCTCGACACGGGAATGACCATGCACGAATGACAGTGCCCATATAATATATATATATATAATATAATATATATATATATATATATATATATATACTGCACAATAAATCGCAGACCTGTGCAGGTGCATCCGGAGAAGGCTCCACCATAGCCTCCAAGCAGGCAGGATCGGCCATACAATGGCAGTGCCCTTTATATTTCTAACATATATATATATATATATATATATATAATATATATATATATATATATTATATAATTTAATTAATTTATTATATATATATATAATTATAATATATATATATATATATATAATTATATATTAAATTATATTTAATATACTGCACAAGTCGCGGGTCGGCCTTTTCAGGGACACCCAGACGTGGATCCAGCATGGCCTGGATGTCGCGACGAATACCCACACATCTAAATAAGTCAATAAGCAGGAGCCACACCTCTGCGGGGATCATCGCCAGAGCTGGCGGCACCGAAGCCTCGCATTAAAGGAATCAGAGATGACTGAATGGCACATGCCGAGCACGCTCCGGCCTCTCCATTCTGGATCTCTGTCGACTGCAGGACCTGAATCAACAACAACCGGAAGCCAAAGCGAAGACAACCATGCACGTCCGGCCCACCTTAAGTCGATGAAGACCCAGTGGCCGCTCCTCGCCAAGTAGTAGTCTTAGTAGTAGTAGTAGTAGTAGTAGTAGTAGTAGTAGTAGTAGTAGT